GAGAAACAAATAATTTAATTACTCAGAATTAGATTGCCTTAGATATAAGGTTGATTACCAACTGCTCCGCAATAACATACATGATACATGTTAAAAAAAACAAATCATTTGGGGATCCAATGGCAACAAAACTCAACGCTGCGTAACATCGTAGAACAAAGCATACAATAGCAGAATGGCAGTCAAATATCTACCTCAACCGCAGTGACTTTGAAAAGCCCTTCGATCGACGCATCCATTGAGAAGTAATTCAACAGACACCTAATTCAACATCACTCTCCCCGTGTCTCAAACCTTATTCAACAACACCTATATGCTACATGATGAGGCTACATACCACCATCACAAGTGATATATATGAAGTGAAGACACGGGACAGGAGCAAGACAAGGCTTCCACACACTATCACCAACCATCTTCCTGATCGTGGTCGACTGCACTGCATCAGACTGGACTGAATCATGAGAGAAACAACTGTGAAGAGGTGTGAGAAGAAGGGCATACGTCGGCTGCAGTGATGAAAACACCCCACACGATTTCCATTTCCCCAACCATGATGATTTATGTCTTCTAATATCTCGTCGAACAAACTCGAAGATGTACAGACGAAAACTAATAAGTTGGCAGAAGAGGCGAGATGAGATGAGGTGAGGTGAGATAAGATGAGATGAGGTGAGGTGAGGCGAGATGAGTTGAGTTGAGTTGAGACAGAGAAGGAAGACCGAACTTCCTTCATGTGAACATAGGGAAGACAGAGGTGGTGAAGATACACAACAACAACAACAACAACAACAACAAAAAGCACCAATCACCACCAACGGCAGAAATCTAAACAAACTTGTCCCTTTCACCCACCAACCCACTCACACACCTACCTGCCTACCTGCCCACCTGCCCACTTGCCCACCTGCCTACCTAGGCAGGCAGAATCGTCTCAACTACAGGTGGCAACACAATAATAACCACACACAGGCACAGATGACGATGTCAAAGCCAACCAGCCAGTATCGAAGAGACACCAAGACACACCTTCCTACATCAATCTGAGATGATCAGTGTGGAGATCTATTGCACTTCACCTCATTTCACTTCACTTCACTCCACTCCACTGCACTCAGCATAAAGCATGAACAACATCCACATTTTAAACACTAATTCAGTCAAGTCAAGTCAAGTGAGTCACTGCTTCTATGTGATGGTTGAGAGAGTTGGCGCGTCACGGAAAGCATTTCCAACAAACTGCAGACATCCATCAAGTAAGAGATGTCGCCTACGCCTACACTCACCCAATACTGAAGATCAGATATATGGTGTGAATAGTAAGAATAAGCAAGGATGAACTCAGTGTGTCTGGCGCCGAACCAACCAACCAACCAATCAACAACCTATTTGTTAACAAATGTGTAGAATGGGGAATTGGAGATGGATTGGATTGAATTGAATTGGATAAAGAATGAGAAGACGGTTTGGTGACATCATGTGTCAGGCCAGGTCAGGCCAGTTCAGGTGAGGTGAGGCGAGGCTGTTGAATGGAAGACAAATGGGAAACGATGAGTTGGGTGTCTGAGGTGATGGTGACATGGAGGAGAGTGTGTGTGGGAGAAGTGAGAGCTTGTGGGTAGTGTTGTTGTCAGGTTGGTATGAATCGAGAGAGTAAAGTGAAATGGCTACGTGCTACTGAATCTCTATGTTCCACTAGGAACCCAAGGGACAAATAATAATAAATAAAGATAAATATTACGTCTAAATCTGGAAACACATGGATTTAATGCAATACAAGATGGATAAAGTAGTACAACTAGGCTATATCATTTCATGTCGAAATAAGCGTCTCAAAGTAAGCCATAAAACACATCACAGAGTACTGCATAAAACCTTATTTTTAAGTTTTCAACTGAACTGACAGTTCAACCTTTAACTAGCGTAAAAGAGTCTTCACTGAATAAAACATCGGAGACACTAAAACTGTATGGAGTATACAGCGTATCTTCATCAAAGTATCACTGGTTTGCCCTTGGCAAATAAATTCTCAGTTACAAATGAAACTTTATTGATACTGAATATTCTGATACGAGACGATAGGGGATGTAAAGTTTGTGAGATAGGACGAAAACTCTGTAACTGTAGTTTTAAGAGCTTGAGAAGTTTATTCACTACAAAATACCTTCTGTTGTTTGCTACATACTTCACCATGGAACACTCAATCATATTCACTTGAAAGCTAAGAAAGTTGAATTCATTGAATGTTTGACATGTCAAACATGGTGTATGTCTAGCTGAAATTACTAAACCCATTGGAAACAATGCAAAACCATATTATAATCTAATCTGGCTTAGAATTTTCCTGGGATATGACTGATTTCAGTGCAGTGTTCATTACAGACCAACAACATTTGAGGAAGCATTGAAAATCTGGCGGGGTCATTGGTGGGTAGTGTTGAGGACTGTCATGGTAGGACAGATCAGCTGTCCAGTGCTCCCAGGTTTTCGACAGTTTGCCAGCTGATGCCAGTCTGTTATGAATACCATCCTATAATTTGCGTATATCAGATCTCGTAAAATTACACAGATATTTTAACAGTATCTATGTTTCTGTCTTCTCTTTAACTCTTTCATTCATCATAACACTCGTAATCCAGCAAATCTTAGGTCATCTGAAGGTTAGTTAAACGCCTCGCATATATAATCGAACCTTGATCGTTTGTAAACGCCATAGGCATAGTTGGGTTTCAAATAAATATGCGCCAACGTTTTGATATACTAACAAAGATGAAAATGACATTTGTCCGGCGTTCTGCAAGCTTTGACGATTACTCTTGGAGCGATGGTTACTAGGTTAGTGTCTCAGAGGGGGACATTAATCACTGGGGTGTTGGCATATCCACCTGAAGAGCCACAAACAGGACGAAACGCATATTCTGGTTTTCACTACTAGCCACCAGGCAAACAACAACATAGTGAGTAATCAGGCATCATCGATGCATCCGCAAAAGAGCCATCAGACCTCGAGTAATTCAATTCAGTATCAGACAACAACTGATCACGACCAATTTGGGATTGTATGCCTAACCTCTGATTACAAGCCAAATATTCAATAAAGATTAATGATGCTTCATTTTTCTTTCATCATTCATTTTCACATACTATAAAAGCCTTAAGATACTACTTCTCTATGACAACGAATGTACTACTTAAATGTGTTTTTTATTGCGTAGAACTCAAAATGACGGTATATGTGTATGCATTACGAGCATGTTTCCATATTACATTTGTTTGTTTGATTTGTAACTCACAGTAATCTAGTATTATTTACTTGATGACGTTTCGGGCATACATTACTACTGCTCATAATCATACCAATGTGTAATCACACTACTTTCGACATTTGCTTTTTAATAGTTATTTCACTTTATATGAATTATTTTTATTGGTAGTAGAATTTTCCATATCTCTGGTATCTCTGGTGTTGCATCATTTCTATTCCATATGTGTAGGGTGTTGATTCGATGAACAAAGATTCAGTAATCAGTCTCTCTCTCCACCTAATTATATTGGACTTAATTAAGTACAGTGGCTTTATCCTACCCTATTGTGTGGTTATGTGTTAATGTAGGCATAGCAACAGCCGAGTTTTTTCTAGATTATTTATCTTGTTTAGGTCTGTTATTCTATATTTAGTCAAATTCCTAAGTTTCGCTATTCTAATTGACCCGGACCGACTAGTCTGACCTATATGCTTGATCTCACAGTCATTACATGAAATTTGATAGATTAGATTATTTTGCTGAATTGGTTGGATGTATCGGATCCTTAAACCAGCTGACAAAACTTATCTCTGAGTGAGTTTGTAGGTAGGCTTAAATGCCACCCTAATTCCAGCTCTATTGAGGATTCTGCACAAAGTTTCTGAGGTACCCTCCTTATAGGGTAATACAATGTAGGCTGTGAACTTTTTATTCGTGTTGCCCTTATTAGTCGCACTCGTGTGGCTGTTATTTTTTCGTTTTTTGTGTCCATAAGAATTTCTTGATAAACTGCGTAGGATAATTATTGTCTATTAGCGCTTTTCTTAAATGTTTCAATTCATTGTTTACATTCTTGCTCTGACTAGTCAGTTTTCTAGCTCTATAATTTAGACATTTAACTAATTCTGCCTTAACTGACATTGGATGGAATGATTTGAAGTGAAGATACCTGTTGGAATGTGTTGGTTTTCTGTAGACAGTAGTATCCAAGCCATCTTATGTTCTTCGTTTTATTCTGCAATCCAACATAGGTAATTCTCCTTGTTCTCATTCTCTACCCCGTAAGTGAATTGAATTGCGTTCACTACTACCAATGAAAACAAGTCATGTGAGGTGATATAACTATTAGAAATCAAATGTCGAAAGTAGTGTGATTACACATTGGTATGATTATGAGCAGTAATAAATAATTTATGCTCAAAACGTCATCAAGTAAATAATACTCTGTCAGTGTGTGTTACAAATCAAATAAACAAATCTAATATGGAATTAATTTCTACTACAGTTTTACAACTATATTAATTATGAACAAACTTTGTTGTGACCGGTGGGGGCAAAGGCTGATAGTCGTGAGGACAGTTACTCAAGAATGACATCAGGTGGCGGTTGCGCTATATCGTGAGCTAACAGAAGTTGGAAAAATGAAATATGGACCATTGGCTTCTGACTCAGTGGCTAGCACAATGGTAACGTGCTGGCCACCGAACCTGAAGGTTGCGGGTTCGATCACTGGCTGGGGGGAGGGGGTCGTGGGCGCGCACTGCCGAGGAGTCCCATACTAGGAGGGAGCAGGTGTCCAGTGCTCACAGGTTTCCATTGTTCCTCCAATTGATATCAGTCTACGATGAATAAAAACTTGAAATATTTCCAAATCCCCGCAACTCCCTCAAAATTCAATTACAAAAGTCTCATTTTACACTATGTTCATTCTTACTTGTAGAAGACGAGAATACAAAGTAAAAAAACATCGAAAGAATTCTTTCTTCCAAAAAAAACATAAAACAACAGTTAACTACACCAACTGTTTGGTATATTACATAATATTCAGTTCATATGAAGTATAAATTTGAATTTATCCCAATTTAAAGAGTAGAATATTTAATCCGTTTAAACGAAAGCTCACAAATCCTCCTTTTTCATGGTGTATAAAGCTGAAAGGATTCAAAGCAAAATAGAAGAATGATTATCCGTAAAATAAAAAAACATTTAAAAAATAATGCATAATTAAGAGAAAAACATTCAACTATTAGTAAACTCAGTGTTATCGCTTGTGTTACATTATCGTTGATTGGACCGAATTGATCAGTCTCTGTTGGCATATGATCTCCTATGCGGATGCCTAGACACTGCCTGTCTTTTAACTATGTATAGTAATGATGGGCAGCGGCATTCGCATAGGACCTCATATGCCAACAGAGACTGATCATTTCGGTCCAGTCAACAACGGTGTAATACAAGTAATAACACTAAACCTATACCCGTCGCACAAGAAGTGGTTATCGTGGCTCGGTGGTGTAGTGGATAACGCGCTGGCGTTTGAAGCGATCGCTCCCGAGTCCGATTCCCAGTGGGAACAACATCACTCACTGAGAGGTAGCAGGTACATCCAGCTGACCAGTGAGTTCCAAATAGGAAGAAATGCGCATCCTGGATTCCACTGCTAGCCACTGCCCATCATTACCATATATTAGTAAACTCATTTCAGAAGTATCTCTAATCCCTAAAAAAATACGATTGAGAGGTATTAGTGCATCATGAATTCAGATGGTAGTCAGGCAAAACGTTGGTTGTGATCGGAGTTAAATAAAAATCTGGTCAGCAGTAGGACATCTTGGCTCAGTTGCTAGAAGATTGGTCCACAAACCCTATGGTGGCTGGTTCGAATCCGGTTGCCGTCCAAATTTCCACTCCACCTTCACTTCACCACCCAGTATCAATACTAGTCTGCCAAATCAAGGCTATCTGAAATATTCAAAATGATATTTGTTAGAAAACAATATAATTAAATCAGTACTAAGTTGAATCATTTACCTTCCAAAATTTCTACCAACAATACAATTCCATGTTGGTTTGTATTTACGATCAAATTCGCTTTTAATATAACTTGCAATATGCATATCTACATTATGCTTATCCATTGCATTTGATGCTACATAAACAGCATCCTCTTCCATTTCTGGTAACATATCTGATTTATCAATTACAGCACGAGAATTTTCTCCTGGCATTATATAAAATTATTCAATCTTCCAAAGATTAGATGATATTCATTCAACAATAATTGAATTATATTCCAGAATATAATGAATATTATTTATATTGAAAATTATTTCTTTCTAATTAATAAATCATTGGTTACAATTTATGCATCATTACGAAATTCTCTTCATTTACAAATCAAAAGAGATTTGAGTGGATTATACATCTTTGATCATAAAAAAAATCGATACAATTAAATACTAACCAGTGCAAAATACTACTGCATAGTTGAATACAAACATGTATTCTCACTATTACAGAACTTTAAACAAAATGTATCTTTGGAATATGTTCCAAGGCCTCTACTTGCATGGATCTATTAGTCCTCCCTATGTATGTGTCACCACACAATATTATTATCTTCAGACCTAACAAAGGCTCAGGTGTTGTGATCATGGATAAAATCGAATATAAGTGTAAAATGTCATCGATTCTTGAAGATGAAAATAAATTCACTAAGGATTGTTCTTCAGAAGACGTACAATTGTTACAGGGAACTGTGACCGCTAATCTAGTGAAACTGCTCGAAATGAACGTCATTACCAGTCAAAAATTCGCCCTACTGAAACCAACCGAATCCCGATTCCCACATCTTTACGGTTTGCCCAAAGTACACAAACCCAACAACTCCTTACGTCTCATAATGTCAATGTGCAAGTCACCAACACATAAGCTTACCCAGTGGCTAGTGGAGTTATTGGATCCCATTAAGAAGCAATTTTGTAAGTATTCCTTAAAAGATACATTTGAAGTAATCAAATGCCTTGAACATGTCAATATAAAGAGTAAATTTATGTGTTCATTTGATGTTAACTCATTATTTACCAATGTCCCTTTGGTCAAGACAATTGACATTTTATTCAGTTATATCTCTGTGCATAAGTTCCCGATACCCATTTCTTTGGATCACCTAAAACAGCTGTTACTTTTATGTACATGCAACATTAAATTCACCTTTGAGGGTGAACATTCCAGCCAGGTTGATGGTGTCGCTATGGGAAGTCCTTTAGGTCCCCTCCTAGCCAACATATTTATGTCACAAGTTGAGAAATTAGCCGAGAACTTAATAGACCAAGCCCATCTGTATCGAAGATATGTTGATGATATCCTGATCATTTGTGAAAACTCACATCAGTCTACTTCAATTTTAAACCGACTGAACGAAGTACAGAACGGTATATCCTTGACATGTGTAAGAGAGGAAGATGACTGCTTGCCGTTCCTAGATATATTAATTAGTCAAAGTCAGGATGGATCCATGAAACGATCTGTCTACAGAAAACCTACATGGACAGGGCAATATCTGAATTACCATAGCTTTTGCCCAGTTCAGTACAAGCGAACGTTAGTAAGGTGCTTATTCAGCAAGATTCAACGAATATGCACAGAGAATACTTTAGAAGGTGAAAGAAGAACACTGACCGATATTTTGTTAAAAAATAACTATCCATCAACATTTATCAGGTAGAACAAAATTACCAGAGCGCCAAAACTAGAACTGCAGTCTGTCCCAGAGAAAGATGTCTTCATCAGCCTTTCATACAAAGGTGACTCTCAGAGTGCAGTTCTTAAACAGAGACTTAACGCTGCTGTTAGAAGGACTTACTATGCAGCCAGGGTTCGAGTAATGGAAACCACGAAGCCCGTATATTCCCGCAAACCCCCACACCATGTGAACTATAATGTCACATTCCATTGTATCTACCAATTCAAATATACGTGTGGTGACACATACATAGGGAGGACTAATAGATCCATGCAAGTAAGGGCCTCGGAACACATTCCAAAGTGGCTTCAGAAGCAAATTAAATCACCTGAACCCATAAATGTTGGTAGTAGACGTCCAAGTTCTTCGATCGCCAAACATATCCTTGAGACAGGTCACATGATTGATGTGGCTACTTCTTTTACATCTATTTACCAAAATGTATCTTGATATAATTGTTTGTTGATTGGACCGAATTGATTAGTCCCTGTTAGCATATGAGCTCCTGTGTGGATGCCTCGATATTACCTGTGTTCTAATTACAGTAATGATGGATAATGGCTACATTAGTGGAATCCTATTTAGGACTTATCAATCAGCTGGATATATATCTGCCTCTAAGTGAGTGATGTTATTCCCACCAGGATTCTTGAATAATTTGTTGGATATCAATTGTCAAGTCAAATAAAAACATCATACTGACTAATATTTTGTACAGTGTAGATTATTTCAAATTTCCTAAGGATCATTTGAAACCATTCAGTGTACAACTTGGTTAATTGTATTTGTTGTTAATAAGTAATATTTGTAGGACAGTTTCAAGTCAATCTCAATGCGATAGTAAACATCACCTCCGATATAAGATACTTTAATGCGATGTCATTAATTTGTACCAATGTAATGTAATGTAGTTAGTTCTGAAGAAACTTCAGTAATACAAAACTTTCCAACCTGTTGTAATATTTTTATTGTCTAAGGCTATTTTTGAGATCAAAAGGCAAGCTGATATTCACCATGAACTGACATCTGATGGAGAAATATTGGAAAGCCGGTGGCACTTGACAGATATTTCGTTTTCGTCCGAGACTCCTCAGTTATGTACACCCAAGTTCCTGTTAGGGATGAAAGCCGGAACCTCCAAGTTTCGTGGGGACCAGAATCCCGATGAGCCACAAGGTCCTGATCCAGTGATCCTCGACACGATCCCTGGTAGGATCATAGGTACGCACTGCTGAGAAACCTCTTACTAGAACGAAACGGCTGCCCAGTGCTCCCAGGTTTCAATTACTTCCCAAAAATGGTGTCACTCCATGACGAACATCAACTTGAAATTAATACTATTGTTTATCTCTTTCGTTCCTAGTGCGACATTAGACTTCAGTAACACGTCGCCATTACAGTTTCTTCTGTGCAGTCTTTTTAACCTACCACCTTCACTGCCCAGAAGCTCTCATTTCTTCCTCACACAATCTCCTCCATGTCACCATCACCTCAGACACCCAACTCATCGTTTCCCATTTGTCTTCCATTCAACAGCCTCGCCTCACCTCACCTGAACTGGCCTGACCTGGCCTGACACATGATGTCACCAAACCGTCTTCTCATTCTTTATCCAATTCAATTCAATCCAATCCATCTCCATTTCCCCATTCTACACATTTGTTAACAAATAGGTTGTTGATTGGTTGGTTGGTTGGTTCGGCGCCAGACACACTGAGTTCATCCTTGCTTATTCTTACTATTCACACCATATATCTGATCTTCAGTATTGGGTGAGTGTAGGCGTAGGCGACATCTCTTACTTGATGGATGTCTGCAGTTTGTTGGAAATGCTTTCCGTGACGCGCCAACTCTCTCAACCATCACATAGAAGCAGTGACTCACTTGACTTGACTTGACTGAATTAGTGTTTAAAATGTGGATGTTGTTCATGCTTTATGCTGAGTGCAGTGGAGTGGAGTGGAGTGCAGTGGAGTGGAGTGAAGTGAAGTGAAGTGAAATGAGGTGAAGTGCAATAGATCTCCACACTGATCATCTCAGATTGATGTAGGAAGGTGTGTCTTGGTGTCTCTTCGATACTGGCTGGTTGGCTTTGACATCGTCATCTGTGCCTGTGTGTGGTTATTATTGTGTTGCCACCTGTAGTTGAGACGATTCTGCCTGCCTAGGTAGGCAGGTGGGCAAGTGGGCAGGTGGGCAGGTAGGCAGGTAGGTGTGTGAGTGGGTTGGTGGGTGAAAGGGACAAGTTTGTTTAGATTTCTGCCGTTGGTGGTGATTGGTGCTTTTTGTTGTTGTTGTTGTTGTTGTTGTTGTGTATCTTCACCACCTCTGTCTTCCCTATGTTCACATGAAGGAAGTTCGGTCTTCCTTCTCTGTCTCAACTCAACTCAACTCATCTCGCCTCACCTCACCTCATCTCATCTTATCTCACCTCACCTCATCTCATCTCGCCTCTTCTGCCAACTTATTAGTTTTCGTCTGTACATCTTCGAGTTTGTTCGACGAGATATTAGAAGACATAAATCATCATGGTTGGGGAAATGGAAATCGTGTGGGGTGTTTTCATCACTGCAGCCGACGTATGCCCTTCTTCTCACACCTCTTCACAGTTGTTTCTCGCATGATTCAGTCCAGTCTGGTGCAGTGCAGTCGACCACGATCAGGAAGATGGTTGGTGATAGTGTGTGGAAGCCTTGTCTTGCTCCTGTCCCGTGTCTTCACTTCATATATATCACTTGTGATGGTGGTATGTAGCCTCATCATGTAGCATATAGGTGTTGTTGAATAAGGTTTGAGACACGGGGAGAGTGGTGTTGAATTAGGTGTCTGTTGAATTACTTCTCAATGGATGCGTCGATCGAAGGGCTTTTCAAAGTCACTGCGGTTGAGGTAGATATTTGACTGCCACTCTGCTATTGTATGCTTTGTTCTATGATGATACGTAACGTAGCGTTGCGTGGCCTTGCAAATTGATGTCCACATGACTTGTTTTTTTCTGAAAGCTGCCAGTCATTCTATTGCGGTAGTAATTTTGAATTCAGAAAGCTTTTTTTAGTCCCGCTTGAATTTAATATTAAATGTTTTTATTTACTGTAACATAGTTGTGGTAACACAGACTCAGTTGCATGCAGGAGATTGTCAACAAGATCGTAATATCAATTGTTATAGTAGTATGAACAAAGGAAATCAATGAGAATATCACTACTCATTTAATCAGTATTCATGACTTGACCTGCCACCACAAATGCACCGCACATCTATCTGAACTGTCACAATTCATCAATTCTTCAACGACTTACCTGAAATGGTTGTCGTCTCACATGATATAATATGAGATTATTGATATGCTTAGTCAGGAAAATTGTTATCCATTGACATTTTTATAAATTGAGTAGAATTCTCAGTTGATAGTAGCTTCTTTGGTACCCGAAGGTAGAAGAACTACAGTATTCTAAAGTGTAGAATCACTAATAGATAAGAGCAGCAGAAATTCAGTTTTGAAGGTGATTTTCCACCATGAACTGATATCAGTTGGAAAACCACTGGAAACGTGAGAGGACTAGACTACTGTTCCGTTCTAGTATGAGAGTCCTTGTGACAGCTTCGTGGATCGAACTTACAACCCTTAGGTTCCTTAGCCAGAATTTTACTACTGACCCACTCATTCATATCATTTCATACA